AAAATCATTTTTTAGAAATATCAATATCTATCCTACCGACAAACAGACTTTTATGAAATCTGAGTCGGATTGTCTCAGTCGGGTCGAGAAAACAGATGAAAAAGTTTTCAAGCCAATCAAAATTCCCCCAAAAATCCAAAATTTTCAGTCACCAAAATAAAAACAGAAAATTCAAAACCCTAGAAGAACAATCAAATCGGAATGTGACGTTCACAAACCTGACCAGAAGCCAAAACAACAGGATCCCTCATAAGCTCATTAGAGAGAGGACAACGAAACTCCTCAGGACAAGACACAGTCTCGAGCATCTCCAGTGAAGACGATTTCGCCATCTTCCTCATCGTCGCTTCTCTCAACGCAGACAAAGCCTCTTGTAACTGATCAATTGTCTGAACCCCAAAGTCATCTTCATCTTCGATCTTAATCAGCAGCTTCTTCATCTCACGCTTCAGTTCTTTGGCTTTCGCAATCGCCGTCGGATCCGAATCGAAAACACCGGTCTTCGCCATCGCCGTCGGATCCACCGCCGGTATTCACCCAACCCTTCTTCTCAGATTACGTATGTCGAAATTTTTGAATTGATTTTCTCACATTAATTATATTTTTTATTTATTTTGTTTCTGTGTTTGTGAAAGAGAGAGTAATAAATATATGAGGCAGAGAGAAGAAGAAGGGCACAAGTGTCGTTGTACTCTAGTGCTTCACTATAATAGAATTGTGGCCTGCACCGAATTCGCCACGTCATCTTATTCATTCATTATTTAGTTATTTACTAAATTAATTCACGAAATTAAGAATTTAAAAGGTTTTAATAATGCAGCACGTATGACCTACCTCGCGACTAAGGTGTCAAAATACAGCCGACACGATTTGTCTCGTACACTCTTACACGTTTACTTATTTCTTGGGTATAAATCCATACACGTTATTGGTAATTTTGTTAGTTATAACATATAGTATTCCCTCCGTTTCGTTTTAGTTGTCGTTTAAGGTTTTTTCACACAAATTAAAAAAAGCATTAAATTTTCTGTTTTATCCTTTATTAATATATTTTATAAAAAATTTCATTGGCCACAACATTAAAACAATAGGGATAATACTGGAATTTTTACCAAACATTTGCATTGAAAACCTAAAACGACAACTAAAACGAAACAAAATTTAAATCCTAAAACGACAACTAAAACGAAACGGAGGGAGTAATTGATAACGCATAATAGTTTACCCTAGTGGTCTTCATCTTTCACTTATGTTTGGTCTTGCGAGTTCGAAACCGGCTTCATACATTGTTTTGTAAAACCGAACAAAACAAAAATTCTCTAAGGTTTGTGAATAACAGAATATTAATATTTTGACAAAACGTTTACAATGATCAAAAACTCAAATCTTAAGGCACGGAACCCTTAACTAATCTTTTATCTACTAAATAACTAGTACTTCTTCCGTTTCAAAATATAAGACGTTTTAGCAAAAGCACGCCGATTAAGATGATCTTTTTTTTTAAAGTTCAGCCAATCATAAAAGAGACTACATAATAAAAATAATCATAAAATATTAAAGTAATATATAATTTGCATAAAAACTTGAAAACGACTTATATTATGAAACAAAAAAATTTCTCCAAAACGCCCTATATTTTGAAACAAAGGGAGTACTGTTTATTGCGAGTATTCGAATTTTGGTTCCTCGCTTATGATGACTAAATTATTCAACCATTAGACCATAACAACTTTAATTTAAATCGCTATTGTGCAGTACATTTTTGCATTGTTTATACTTTATATCATCGATCATTGCTTGAATCGTTTTTTTTTTTTTTGGTCAATTGATAAATCTATTAGCGTCATTGTTTGAATTGTTGACCCAAAACAAAAACAGACTTAGGAAATTTATAATAATTTCAACAATGTTAATGTCGTAGACTCGTAGTTATATTCAAAAAACAAATCACCTTTAACGAAAAATGCAACATTAATGTGATACATAACATAGTGGTAAACCAAAAAATCGGAAGTACGGTAATGGTGGCGAAAATTAGATGGGGAGAGGAGTGAGTGTACAGAAAGTGGGACCCGCACAGTTATTCCAACATGGCAACATGGGAACAGCTGTCTTTCCGCGTGGATTCTTTTGTACTCCTCCTCATTTACTCTCTTTCTCTCTCTCTCTATTTCTTCTTTGACGATTTTACCCCTGCCGTTTTTCACACTACTTTTCTTCTTCTTTTTATTTTTTGTTCTAAAATAAATTTAAAAAATATACTGTATAAAAAAACAGAAAAGAAACCAAGTTTTATACTTAGCTTTCTAGGCGTGATTGGATGAAATAAGAGAGTTGACCAAATCTATAGCATTAAAAAAAAAAAAAAGTAACCAAAATATTTGGTCTTAAAATTAACTTCTTTATCAAGATTTAGTTTTCAACTTTTAGTAACATTCTGTAGACAATAATATTAAACAAGATGACACATCACTCCATGTCTGAAACAATTTTTAAACGTGAAAACGACTTTTTCCATCAAAAATTTAATTCCAGCAAATGTTTTAAGGGTGATTTGCAAAAATGACGCTTTTGGAAGATGAATTTAAATATATAGCACTATAATTGGGGAAATTAAGCAAGTAATAGATGAGGGTGGAAAAATATCGTCAAACTCCTTCTTAGACGAATCAGGAAGTGCACACGCGCGTGGAAAGTGAATAATGTGGCTCTTGTTTTAAACAACAGTTTCAATACTATCTCTCGTTATAGATAAAATAGTACAGAAAATAGTATGTAATCTGTTTCATCTAAACTCCACCGAAATTGCAGACTAACACGAGCACAAGGTATTAATACCCACATCGAAAACAAATCAACAGCTCATAAGAAATCGTTGGAAGTTGGGAGAATTGCATCGATGGAGAATACGTGATACTTAAAGGAACAAATCGATTATTGTCGTTGGCCATGAGTTCGATGACCATCTTAAACCCTTGATCGCTTCTAGATCTAAGAAATCCATAACTAAATCTTCAATTTACTGGTTTCGAGTTCTCTATTTCATTTCCATGGATCTAAAAAATTAAAAATTCTCAGATTAACTTTGGTGGGAAAGTGAAGATTAATCAGACAGAATTTGGCGAAAGAATTTCACCGGAATTTGCTAGCATTCTCCGGCCGACGAAGAATAAAAGTAGTCGGAGTTAGGGACTAAAAGGTTGTTGCGTTGATGGTTGGGTTATTATATAATAGAGTGAGTCAGGTTTCAGTGATCTATTCTAATCTATAGTTAACTGTGATCCTTTGATAGTTTTGTTTTTTTGAGTTGGTGATGTATGTAAGCTTTGTAGGAAAGGAGAGAGAGAGATAAACCAAAACAAAGAGGAGAGATGAAAGTAGCACAGTTCACAAAAGGGAAGAAGAAGAACAAGAGCGTGCACTTCACACATAAGGTAAACATGTCTTTATTACAGAAAATATAGAGAATATCTCTTTTCTTTTTTTGAAGTGTTAGTTTCTTAATTAATAATTTTTTTTTGGTTATAGAGTCAAATTTCTCATGTTTTAATTAGACCAAGTAATATATATTGGCCACGGAATTTGTCAACTTTAGCTATTTGTTAGAACTTAGAACTTCAAACTAATTAACTACTAGTATACTATTACATTTATTGATATCGCTTTAAATATTTTGTTTTTTTAATACTATAATACTCGGTTTATTTAACCACCATCCATAAGAGTAGGTGATTGATGTTCATATACAATGATACAAGGAGTTGGGGTTAGAATAGTTGTCATCTCAATTCTCAAAATTGAAGTTGTTCTACTAACAAACTGATAGAACAACTATTATTGAATTGAAATAGACACGTGTATGAAAAATATCTATTACTGTATTTCTGAGAAGTGGTCCCCACTCGTCTGCAAACACAGAAGAGAATCATACAAGTGCCAAGTTGGACTTCTGATAAAAATCAGCTTACGTCGGACCACCTTTAACCCACGTGTCCCTTTCTAATGCCCTCATTATCTTCGAACTGTCGTTTTTTTTTCCCTGCTTGCGAGACATCTCTGCTTTCTCAAATTATTATCCTTGCTTCTGTTTTTTTTTTTTTGGTTAGTTTTTATTGTGTGATAACAACACTCTTATATTGAATTTTTTTTTTTCCGTAGGAAGAGTAGAACATTCATTTCCAAACTTTTTGGTAACAACAATCTGAATCTTCGAAAGAAAAGAACATTGATGAATCATTTTGTTATTTTCTTCACAATGCACTAAGTTTTGCAGCATGCCTATAATGTTAATCTACATATGAAATTTTACACAATGAAAATACAAGAAATTATGAGTTCTATTTGGCATGTAAGGTGTGGGTTACGTTAACATTAAAAAGAAATTTCAGATTGTCAAAATATAATAACAAAACAGATATGGACAGTACAAACTGGACATATATCTACGCTTGGGATATTTTTAGTGTTTTTTTATGGCGAAATATCCCTGGTGTTATATATATGTGTATGATTCTCAAACTTCTCTACTTCCTCGCTATTGTTTTGTCGGCGGAATGTTGATATATTTTCTTATATAAAATGGAATGTTGATATCCCTTTTTTTTTTTTTTTTTTTTTTTTTTTTTTTTTTTTTAACTCATACCTTTTCATTAAATAAAAGAGGGAATTACACAGTGATCCTCCAAAAGAGAGACGACCTACAGTACAAACAGAGATTACATCAATTAATCTACTGGAAAACACCAAACCAAGTGACCAAAAGAGAAGGCTCAGGAAGAACAATCTTCTGAGCTCTAGATAAGGGATCAAGATGACATCGTAGAATGCTCTTGATCTCTAAGATTAACGCAGAGGACGGCTTGGAGGAGGAGGAATGAAGTCTTGAGTTTC